TATATATATATATATATATATATGTGTACATGTGTGTATAATTGTACAAAATATATATGATAATGTGTACAATTTTCTTATTAATATTCAAAAATGGGAAAAAAATATGAAAGAGTGATGAAAAGTCTCAACTTATAATCTTAAGATTATTATTTTATAATTTAAAATCAAAATTTCTTCAAGAGTATTCAAATTATAATTATCTTAAATATGCGAAATGTTATGTAAAAGTAGATAAATTTTTCTCTAATTTGAGAAGCAATTTGTTTCATTTACATAATTGAGTATATAATTTATTTATTTCATACTCGTGAAAGCTGAGAAAAATCACATGTAAACTCTTCTTATAATGATATATAATAGCAAGCTATATACACGACACATACACACATCTGTGTACTTTGTTTGCTTATTGTTAGTGATACAACAATAATATCGAATATTATACAGTTTGTATTATTCGGATGTATTGTATGTTGACGCAACTCAAGTATGATTGATTTTTGTATGAATGACCGATATAAATAAGTTACAATACATGGACTTCATCTAATATGTATGTTGAATGTATGTGCGCGCGCACATACACACAAACACATATATACACGTGCATTTATACATAAATGTAAAATCAATTTATTCAATTTACATTTAAAAAGTTAAAGAAGAACAATACGCCCATGTGTACAAGATTTAGCGATATCAATCATTCTTCAATAAAGACTTTTTAATTAAAGTAATTGTTTTTCTATTATATATTGTAGAACTTGTGTGCTCTCTTTATTGTATACAACAATCATTTTTTCTGAAGACATGAGTCATGGGCAATACAGTGTCTTCTATGGAAAATGGAAGTAAAGTTAATTTTTCAATTTATTTATTCAAAAATTATATCTGTACATATGTATAACACTGTCTGCAATGTAACGCAAATCTGTAAATACAGATATTACATATAGAAGTATACTAATTTCTCAATTTGCAATACGATACAATTCCATTTTTGATAAAATTTCAACATTACAAGATTCTTAAACACGATACCTTGTATTGTAACTATGTCTTCGATATTTTTAATTCTAGATTTAAATATTAACATTTACATATATATTATATATATTAAGTAATTTATTTCACTAGAGAATTGCTACATCTTTTTTTTTATATCTATAATTTATCTCCACACAAAGCAACTAAACATAATTCTTATAAGCTTATAAGGACGTTCCTAAATGTGTAATTCACACATTATAAAATCCAAAGTATGGCTTTTGCTCGCGTAAAATTTTTTCAAAAATTTAAAAAATTTTTAGTTTTCTTTCTTCTCATTTGTCTTACATTTATACTACGATAAAATATCAAAATAATTTTTTTAAAGAAGCTATTAACAAGTCTGTTTAGTTCTCATACAAAAACATTTATTAAAAATTGCGAAATCTGTAATTACATTGGTTTAATACATTTATTCAATTGATTTGCTTTTATTTATTCTGGTAAATGACATAAAAGCTGTTCTTTGTAATGGAACATTGTTTGATAGACATTAAAACATTGACAAAGTTATGAATACTACCAAAAATACAGATCGATACAGATGCTACTAGTATAAGATGTTAAAATAGAGTTCAGATCCTTTGATCATTTTCTTTTCAAACATCCTGTATAAAAATAATGTCTGCAGCATCTCTGTAATCTATCATGTAGTATTTATTGAAATTATAATCCTTTTGCTTTCAATATTATGCCAAATATATCACGTATATCGAAGACTATCATTACGGAAGTAATTATGATGAACTCAAAACTACTAAACTTATTCCTTAGGTGGATCTTCTCGAATCATTTCCAAAGAACTATCCGAATTGTTAGTACTGCTACCACTTCCAGCATCGTCTTCTCGTTCAGTTGCTTTTTCTTGGCTTACATTTGTTGCACCCAACTGCCATGGTGGTATAGATGCAGGAGCAGTAGGAAATTGTTTTCTATTTTAAGATAAAATTGAAAATTAATAAATATAATTGTAGACAATGTATAAAAATTTCAGTTACAGTTAATGTTTTTTGTGCATTGAGTTCATGATATAGACAAATAAATATGCACAGTCTAATCAGAGATATCATGTTTGCAATAAAAGATTACTTAAAAAGTGCAGACGGTCAAAAATAAGAATAAGATGGGAAAAAATTTATATTTTAAAGTTATATTTTGTAAAATAAACTGTTTAAATGACAATTACTAGAACATTCAGGTATAAATTTTTTAAGCAATTTCAAATAAAATTATATTTATGAGAGAGTGTGAGATTGTGATGTTTGATCTCTTGTAAAAATAATGATTTTAATATAAGCAAATATCACATACAAGAATAAAATGATAAATAATGTCTAAATGAAATAATCTCATTGTATGGCAATAAATTGCTATTACTGACAATCTATGTGCATTGCTTATTGTTACATACGCTTTATATAAAAAGAAAGGAAAATGCATATATATATATATATATATATACATATATATATATATATATAGGTATATATATATATGCATATATACCTTGATAAAAGTAATGCTTTTAGACTAGATAAATCATGTTTAAGTTCTTGCACTAGTTGTGGGATAGTTGGATCCAATGCTTGATGCCGAGTCAATTTTTGCACTTCACCTTCTACTTTCAAGATAGAATCTTTCACTTCTTTCATGGAATTTTGGACGGTTTCATCTAGTTCGGTTACCTTATCTTCTATGCAACACCTTTTCTTTTTTCGACCAAATAGAAATGGTTCTATAAATTTCTACAAAATTAAAAATTGCATTGTATTTCAATAATATAAATAAATGGAATATACATATATATATTATATACAATTTTTATTTTATATGATTTTATCATGATGTTATCATGGAAAATTCAAAATTAATATACTAGAAATTTTTCAACGTTTTGAAAGAAAAAAAAATAAAATCTTTTAATTTCTTTGCACCATAAAAATACCTTATAAAACCAATATGCACAGTATACTGTGACACCAATTAATGCAGTTGCATTAAAAAATTCTTTAATTTTCAACAAAAATGTCGGTTGATAAACATTCATTTGATATGGATGAATAGATTCTGATGGTATTTGTACAGCAGTATATGGATTCTGATTCTGAAGAGCATTGCGATCAGCTTTATTCTCAACAGATGCTAGTTTAAAAGCTGTTTTAATTTCTTCGTCCGTGAGGCCTTTCCTTTTCAGAAATTCCTGCTTTTGCGACAATGGACTCGACAACACTTTAGGATTTTGTAGAAACTGCACTGCTGTTTTCACCTTTAGAAATATTAATATTTTACAAGTTTCATAATAATGTAAATTTATATACAAGATAATGTGCATGCATGTTGGATAGAGTACTTCTTCTAGTACACATAATTAAATACATGCATAATTTAACAGTGAAATTTACAGAATAATTAAATATGGAAATATATATCTTGCAATCTGTTTAATTTACATAACCCAATGTGATCAACGATAATAATTTACCAAATTCTCCCGTAACGGAAGAATATTATTGTTTGTATTTTGATCAGTCATTCTGATTAGCCTTTGATCATTTGACTTTCTCACTTGTTATAATCAAAAGGACATTACTACGCAAATTGCAAAGTCCTATTGCAAACTGCAAATCACATTTTCTCGCTAAAACAATTACATACACACGTGTATGTATATATATATATATATATATATATATACACACACACACACACATGCAATTATATATGTAGTATAAATTTATTTCGCTTGCGCGAGAAAACTCGCTAATAATCAAAAAAATGCTACCTTGACTCACTTTGTTTCTCGAGATTTTGAACGAATTTATAATTGTCTATCAATAATATAGATTTTACATTTAATTCAAAGATATAAGCACGAAATACTAAAGACGTCAGTACTTATGGAAATTCGCATGCCTGTTAAAATTTAAGTGATTATAGCGAGGAGCACAGACTCTAATGCGAGATCTACATATATAATAGAAGTCGTAGCGGTCGTAAGATCTTAAGTCGTAAAAAATTGACCAATCACAATTGAATATGAAAAAAATAATCAACTGTGATTGATCAATGGTAATATCAGTAATGGATAAGAATAAGAAATTGACCAATCACAGTCGTTTATTCTTTTCACATTCAACTGTGATTGGTCAATTAACTGTTACTCTTACAATCTCATCTACTATTGCTATTGCCATTGTAGATTATGCATTATATAACCATAAAATATAAGAAAATCAACCAATCAGAGTCCTTTATTTCACGA